ACTTCTGATGTGTTATGTCGTACTTGTAATATTTGCAGATGAAATGATTGTGACATCCCCACTGAGAACTAACGATATCACCACAATACTGTTTGGTGGGGCAGCTGGCCGTGTTTACATTTACAACGGAAAGCAGGCATCCTCAGGGAATGTGACAGGCCACTGCAAATCATGGGTATCTCCCTGTCCTGAGGACTGGGTAAGAAAACATAAAAGTGAAATCAGGACATGAGGTCATAATGACAACTAATTAATTACATCCAGTGCAAATATCTGGTGCATGCTGACTTGGTTTCAGAAAACAGAAGGTTACTTATGTTTCTGAATCTGTGTGATTTGTCTCCTCCTGTTCTTTCTTGAATTACTTTCCTCTTTAGGAGCCAGGGTTATTGCACTGGTCTTCTACTCTCCTAGTGTGGTTCTCTCCACTGACTTTTTATTTTCTCATTTTTTTCTTCTTCAGGCACAGTATGTCCTGATTTCTCCTGAGGTAAGTAACCAGAAAACAAACTACTGAGAGAAATGAAAAAGTCCCACTTTAAAAAAAACCTAACAGCATTATAACAAGCAATGTTATTTTACAGGAACTATCAAGATTTGGGAGTTCCGTTATCACTGTGAAATCTGAAAGAAAGGTGAGAAAAATTACTGTTGTCTGTTGCTTCGTAACATCTTTCTACCTCACTTGCATATAATAGCCAACACCTCAGATACGTATCTTACTCATTTGCAGAAGTCTTAAGTGCTTTACATAGAATTAAGTTTTCATTTAAGTCACTCTGAACTGATAATTAAAACCATTTTATAGGTGGATGAACTATGGAGTTGTCAAAATTTTGGCACCTGACACTTGAATTGAAAGAGATCGCTTTCAAATGGCCTGAAATCTAAACTACTTAGGCGTTTGCTGAAAGGTTGCATGGTAAATCAAGTGTAGGTGCCAGCTGGCTTTACTGCTCATGCCAACCTGTATGCAAAGTGGATGCTCAGCTATGGGGTAAACCAGGCACTGAACCACCCCTCTCATTTAATATTTACAGGCTCGCTGTCCTAGCTATTGCTTGCAGTGAATGCTGTTCATATGTCAAGTATTTCCAAGCATAGAGAGGCCCAGTTCCTACCTGAATGATTTTGGATATGTTTGTGTACCTGTTTCTTTTTGTTTCCCTCAGATGCCCCTTATTTTTACCAAAAGTCAATCCCTGCGTTTTTATGATGCACTGAGGAACCTTTTTTTCAGCTTGAAGGTTACTGAGTGCTTGTTCAGCTGAGGAGAGTCCAATGTCCTGCTTACTCTGCCATAACCTGTGCGAGAACTGAGGTTCTCTGTGTGAGTACTGAGAAAGCCTCAGTACTAGGCTGAGGAGGAGTGCGACTGGACTTCAGCAAATGGTGTTTGACTTCTTGCTGTTAAAACATGCAATGGAGAAACACCTGGAAACGTAAATGCTTCTAAACTAGGTTAGGGTGCATAATCCAACACCTGAAACAAAGGCATTGCTGATGGTTTCTGCACGAGTGCAAGTGAGGCCGTTCTCCAAGCAGTTGTGTTCCTTTGCCATGGCACCAGTCCAGTCCACACTCCAGCCTCATCTGTATTGATCTTACCCCTGAGAAATAGTTTACATTGGCAAGAGATTTATTTGACTGGTTCCAGCTTCTTCCAGTTCCCCAGATGAAACAAAGTCTGTTTGCCAAATTGTTTTGTTAACTGCTATTCTGATGAGGTGGGTTGCTCTATTGTTTCTCCTCGTCACGTTTCTGTGTGACACTCATGACATGGACAAAATCTGAATTCCATTAGGAAATGGAGGCAGTCGTGCACCTGAAGTTGCACTTTGCTAACCTTTGTTCTGTGTCTCTGCAGAAAGAAGTTGTAGTGGCAGCGGAGAGAAGTTCGGTGAAAGCTCGACTTGGTGGAAGGCTTTTTGTCTACTCACTCTAAAAGTTCATGGTAGCCTTTAAGACCAGGCACAGCTGGTCTTTTATTGAAGAATCTGGTAACTTAGAATTATTAACAGCTTTTACTGTTAACAGTATTGTCTTCAACTAATTAACACTACTTTTGTATGATGCAGGTTTAACAGAGTGTGCATCAATTATCTATTAAACTTGAGCAGCAAGATGTGATGCTGTTATTACCAATACTAGTCCGCAGACACATATGTATATGTATTTTCTCTCTCTTGCCCCCTTCACAAAACATAAACCATTATTTTTCTTTCAAATAACACAAGTCAGTGGAATAGCACAGAATTCTAAAGGTCATACTCCAAGATGACACACTTCAAGTTACCTTCTTAGGAATTGTGTCTCTCAGGGAGGTTGTTTTTTAAAAAAAAAATGGTAAGGTGAACATTAGCTTGATGTATAATGTGTTCCAACATCTATTTTGGGGACTTTACTTGCCCAAATAGCAGATCACTTAAGTTTAAAATCTGAACTTTATGAAAGAAGTAACTGGGTGGACCTGGGAGCACAGCACTTACACCACAGTTCACAGATTTGTAAGGTGAGGCAAAATGAGCAGTGTCTTTCTAAGGGCAGAATAAAAAGAGTCTTCCTTTTTAAATGAAAATTCATAAAACCAGTATGTTCTGTAGCAATTCCATTCTGAACATACAGCCTCCACTGGCTTTGGTTTTTTCTATGTATGATCTCAGAGGAATTCTATTGCATATGAATGCATGTCATGGTTTAACCTGGCAGATAGCTAAACAGGACACAGCTGTTCGCTCACTCCCCCCCACAGTAGGATGGGGGAGAGAAGTGGGGCGGGGGGGGGAATGGGGAAGTAAGATTTGTGGGTTGAGATAAAGACAGTTTAATAGGGCAG